AAAATTAAAAATCTCAATTTGCACCCTCAAAGATAGAAATTTATATCAATGTGCACCCCAAAGATAAAAAATTTCAATTTGCACTCTCAAATATAGAAATTTGTATCATTATGCACTTAAAACTAAATTGATAAATTATACCTAGATCTCCTCATGTTTGTCACTTAATCATTTGGACCTCTTTACATTTAGAATATTACTCCTACATCTCATAACATTTATGCACGTACAACATGTAACTCATTTTCATTGATATCTGTTAATATAACCGTTAAAAAATATAATTTTATCCTAATAAAAAATTATAATTTCATATTACCCTTATTTTATGGGTTCAATATACTCTAAAATTTAAAATCAAGCTTACCATTTGAATGTCTAATAAAATGTAGATATTTATATAATGTTTTTCATATTTTCCTTTATATAAATATCTACATTATATTAGACATTCAAATGGTAAGCTTGATTTTGAACTTTAGAGTATATCGAATCCACAAAATAAAAAGTAATATGAAATTATAATTTTTTATTAGGATAAAATCATATTTTTTAACGATTATATTAATAGATATCAACGAAAAGTGGTTATGTTTACACATGTACAAACGTCAGGAGATGTAGGGGTAATATTCTAAATGTGAAGGGGTTCAAATGATTAAGTGACAAACACGAGGGGATTTAGGTATAATTTATCAATTTAATTTTAGGTGCACATTGATACAGATTTATATATTTGAGGGTGCAAATTGAGATTTTTGATCTTTGGGGGTGTACATTGATACAAATTTCTATCTTTGAGGGTATAAATTGAGATTTTTGAATTTTGGAGGTACAAATTGAGATTCGAACGATCTTTTAGGGTGCAAAATGAGATTAACCCTATTTTTTATTATTCAAATTTTAGAAAAATTGGCTCCTAACCTAATTCAGAAACAAGAATCAACTCGAACTCCAATCTCTACACCAAATTATATAGTTAGCCTAATTTATACAAAGTTTTTTAAAATTAATAATTAACTGAATATTTTTAAAAAAATAAAGATAAAATAGGAAGTTAGGTTATTAGACACAATTTTTTGGCATTTCTTTGTGTTTTTTGCAAGAAAAAAAAATTAGTTAGATATGAAAAAATCTAAGTATAAAAGAAAATTATTTTTTTTATCATTATTTATTTCATTGTAAACAAACACATGTAAAATTTTAATAATTTTTATTTTTTGTATTTTCTATCATTATCTTACTAAACACTTGACACTTGTCTATGACAAGAATAGACTCCTTGATCTTCCAACTGCGATTATCAAGGGTGGGTAAACTTAAACTATAATTGTTGGTGGCAATATCAATATTACTCTGAAGTCATATTGGTAGACAAAAAGAATCTATATGATAAAAAAGAAAAAATTGTGTTCTCAAACTTATCAAGGATCAATCTATATAATAAAGTAGGTATATTATTTATCTTAAATTTTTCGTGATTCAGATCATTTTAATTCGATAGTCTTAATTGGACTTTTATTCATTTTACAACTTTAAGACTCTTATTTCTCATATAATTCTCTCTCTCATATTATAAATAACACTTAATGTAAATAAAAAAAAATACATTGACTATAACACCAAATAATATTCAACATGAAATGAACCTTAGATTATAAATTAATATATAATTTTATCAAAAATTAACATTTAATTTTATCCAATTTATATTCAACTTTGTTGAATTAATATCAAATTATTTTTTATTGTTATCAAATTAATATTTAAATTTATTTAATCAATATTTTGGGTATTAAATTATATCAATTTTTGGGATATTAAATTAAAATTTATTTAATTTTATTAAATTTTAAATTTTTTTGTACTAAATTTGGAGAATAGAAATTTTAAAAATAATAAAATTTGTTGGGATGAAATTATCAATTTCTGTTAACAACATTGACGGAATGGAGATAGAGGGAACCTCCGTGTACTGAATTTCAAACCTCAGGAGGTTTTTGTGTTATTTATAAAATGTTAGGGGATGAAGATGTCCATAATTTTTACCCTATTTTTAAATTAAACATTAATTTATTTTAAAAACTTGAATTATTGTATTTCTAATAAAAATAGTTATTGGTTAGAAAAGTTTGTTGGTAACTAAAAAAAATGTGTGCGTGTTTGTTTTTTTGTATATTTATATGTGAAAGATTGAACATTTGGTAATTAAATTTAGAATTATATTATGTCATTTGGGGTTGAATGGTGATAAATTTACGAGTTTTATGAATAAGCAAGATTTGGTTGATTTTATTTATCGCTTATATATTGATGGATTGAAAATATGGTGATTAAATTTATAATTTTGTTGTATTATTAGATTGACTGGTAGTAGCGGTAATAAATTTGTGAGTTTTATAAATGTATAAGATTTTATTTTTAATGAATGAAAATTTCGTTGGATTATGTTAGTATTTATTTTATTTTTTTCGAGGCATTTGCATATATGGTGATGTTTTAGAAAATACTTAGATATTTTTATAACAGTTTCATTAATATAGAAAGATATGATAAACGATATATTTTGAATTATTTTAATAGATAAATTGGTAAGAATATTTTTAAGGCATTCTTTTTAAATTTGGACAATTATTTAAAAATTTTTTATTTATTATACAATACTTTTAGGTACGAAAAATGATTAGTCATCCAATACGGGACAAACAAAGACTAGTATTGACTGTCCTAAACGTATGGTTTTGGTGCCATTGCCGAACAGCTTATTGACAGAAACTACAGGACGATTTTGATCAATATTGGAGCATCCCAGACAAGTGGTCAACTTGCTGGCAAGGACTTTGCATTAATCTACAATTTTCAAACTGACAACAGGCTTTTCATATATAGATGCGTGTGTGCCTCTGTGTATTAATACCTACATATATATATATATTTCGACTACCGTAATTCAAGTATATGTCCCTTGAGTAACAAATGTGGTTAACTTTTATAGAACGTGAGAAGTATCGAAACTGAAATCTCTTAATTCAAGAATTGTCCTTTGAAGAACAAATGTGACTAACTCTTATAAAGCGTGAAAAATATTAAAACTGAGACCTCTTATTTGTAAAAGAATAGACTTAACCATTGAATCACCTTTAAAGATTAATACCTATATACACACACACATATATACATATTATATTGGGGTCTAATGAGTGAGAGTTAATTTTACAAAAAAAAATTTGATCTCATTGTATTAAATATAATTTTTTTCCCTTCTCTTTCTTTAATTATACAATTTAAAATTAATTTGAATTCGTTATTTAAAAAAAAATTAACAAAAAGATTTCTCAAAATATATAATCTAAAAAAAATAAATTAATATCTGTACATTATAATATTTGAACAATACCTGAAATAAAAATTGTATTGAGCCACTAATTAATAAAAAAATATATGATTTAATTTATAGTATAAATTAAAGATGTAACAGAAATGAGCAAAAAAAATGTGTGAGATAAATTTAAAAGACTCTAGATAGAAGAAAAAGATAAGAGAGAGGATACTTAGTGTAAATTAGTTAGCGTGAAAATGTATAGACCGAGTGGGGTTTTTAAGTTTAGGGGGAAATTTTTTGGGCAATTGAATCTTGTGATTGGTTAACTTAAAGAGTTAAAATCAGTCTTATTTTATTATATCGATGTGTGTTTTGAAAATTCTCCTCATTGATGTAGTGATGAAAACAAGCACTAATAACAACGAAAAATGTGACAAATTTGGATTGAACTCTTAACCCATTAAACACTAAAATTTACTTAAAAAAATCCAAAAAAAAATTAAAGTCTCAATCCGAGTAATGCTATTTGATCTTAAAAATTTAACTTAATTAGCTAATCTGATTCATTATAACTTTTGAGCAATTCTACGTGAATTTAAAAAATAAACTTAAAAACTAGACTTGATAATCACAATTATTGATTTTACTGTGGGTTCTAACATTTATTAGGATATATTATCTATTCAATAATTATGATTATCAAATTTATTTTTTAAGTTTAATTTTTAAATCCATGTAACATTACTCATAACTTTTAGATTAACTGTAAGTTTTATCAAACAATAAAATTTGGTCTGATTTCAGTGAAACCACGTCATATCACCAAATAAGATTAATTTTTGAGCAATGTTACATGGATTTAAAAATTAGGCTTAAAAAATAAATTTAATAATTATAACTATTAATTTTATCATAGGTTTCAGTATTTATTGGATTCTATTATTTATTCAATAATTATCATTATCAAATTTATTTTTTAAATTTAAATTTAAATTTTTTAGATGATATACCGATGAGAGAAACTGAGGCTCCAACATGTGAAAAGACAAAAAGCAGGCCACACTTGGTACCCCTCATCAATGTGCCACGTGTCACCATCCAAACGGTCACGTCCTAAACTTCACCAGTTTGTGTTTTTTGTCTGAATGCATGGGCTAATTTTCCCCTTAAAAAAGGAGACATCACATAAATCGTGGAGAGAGAGGGAGAGAGAGAGGGCAATCAGGCAATCAAGGAGAGGCCAGGATTCCTTACAAATCCGCAGGAAGGTAGACCCAGAACCCTTATCCTATCTTCTTCCGACCTTTCACAACATCTCCTTCACCAGTTTCAATCTCCAAAAAGCTTAACTCTAATTCTCCCCTTACTATTCACTTCTCTCTCTTGCATGGTTTTCATTGTATAACCCATTGTTTCTAAGAGTTTTTCAATCACAGTTGCTGTTTTTCTATGACTCGTAGGTATTTCTGAAATGAGTTTTTGAAGCTGCTTCTAAGTTCTAACATATATATATAACTCTTTCAAAGCCAAGAACAAGAAGAACAAATGGCACCAAGGTCAGGCAGGGGCAAAGGAAACAAAACTAAGACAGATAAGAAGAAGAAAGATGACAAAGGTTTGAATTTCTTTCTCATAGTTAAAATCTTATGTGTTCAATGATAACTTGCAAAAAAAAAAACAAAAAAGAAATAACCAGTAAATCTGCTTATAACGAGGAGGTCTTTCTTTTCTTGTGCAGGGGTACCAAGTGTAGTTGATATAACTATCATCACTCCATATGAAACTCAAGTTATACTAAAGGTACTGAATTGATTCTTTAGTAAGAGGATCTGAACTTTGTGGAAATACTAATTTTGCATCAAATAAACTATATAATTAATGAGAATTAATCTATGGTAATGAAGGGTATCTCAACAGACAAGATACTTGATGTAAAGAAGCTACTAGCTGCCCATGTTCAAACATGCCATCTTACAAACTATTCTTTATCCCACGAGGTAAGCTATAATTATATATGCACATAACTCCAAAGTACCCTTTAATATACTCCAGATTATAATGATATTTCGATTTTTCTAAGTTATATGTGTTGAACATTTTTTTTAAGATTGATGATAAGTCATGTGTGGTCATGAACAGGTTAAAGGACATAGGTTGAATGATAGGTTAGAGGTGGTTGCTCTGAAGCCCTGTTTGCTGAGGATGGTTGAAGGTTTGTTGTGTGTTCCTATACCTATATGCTCAAAACCTTTAAATTCTCATGGGTGCTATTAACTATTAATTAAAAGTTTCGGGTCTGCTGAACAATTATAATTTAACTCGAAATTAGAAAAATAATGTTATTGAATTTCAACGTAGGATGATAATTATTCACGTATACCTTCAATTCCATCACATTTTCTCCAAATCTTAAAAAGCAGCGTTGTGTGTCAAAGTATAGAGAAATACACCCACATGCCTTTAAGACTTTGTCTATTTAAAATTAATAGTTCACATCCCTCTTATCCTATTCTCTCCTACAAAAACAAAGGAGTATTGAGAAATATCAGCATACTCCCCAAAGATTTATTACAATTATAATGAGACTCTATGAGGTTTTGATAATGCCATTAATCTCCTACGAATTCAACTTTTGTACCCCAAAAGCCTCCCTCGTTTCAAGTTTTGTGCCTACCCTTATACCAAAAGACAGAAATCCAATATGGAAGGTTGGTCATTTTGATAAAATCATAGAGGTCTCATTGATATTATCATGGAACTCAAAATTGGCCACAAGTGTCTGGAAAATCTTAACACAAGCAAGTTGGCCCCCGCTTGTAACCTTTTACATGTATAGTGGTGGGCAGAGTTTTTTTATTTCGGCAGATCAAACTAAGATTATGTTTTATAAATTAAATGGTCAAGAATAATGTATACGACAATTTACTTTTTTTTTAAAAAAGTAAATAACACAACACTTTAAAAATAAATCAACACTTACATTAATATATTAAAATTGTTACAATATGATCCTTTTATTAACTTCTATTGATTATTCGTCAAAAATAAACTCATTGACATTAAGGATACCAATAAACATTTTTACATCATTCAGGGTAGAAAGTGAAATTTTCGAAAAAAAATTGATGTTACGATGCACTTATGGAATCATTGCCCAAGAAGCTCCACCTTAATTACATTAATGCCACTAACGTTGCAGAGGACTACACGGACGAGTCTCAGGCGGTGGCGCAAGTGCGGAGGCTACTGGACATCGTCGCATGTACGACCCGCTTCGCGAAGCCCAAAGCTGGAAGATCTACCACCACCACCGCCGTCTGCGGTGGCGTTACAGAAGGTAAAGCCAAGAGTAGTGGGACCAACCAGAGCACCACCCTCGGCCCAGCATCTTCGCACTTAGATGGAGAAGCCCGAGCATCAGAGCCGTCAGTCTCGGCGATTTCTGAGAGCTACGACATGGTTGCAATTCACCCAGTACCGAAGCTCTCTGATTTTTTCGAATTCTTCTCTTTCTCTCACCTCTGTCCTCCTATACTAAGTGAGATGTTCCTCTCTTTTTCATTTTTTTTTTCATTGAATAATTTTAAGAATTTGATTTTTTATGTTCTCTCTCTCACTTACTCTCTCTCTGCTTTTGCAGATTTAAGAAGAGTGGAACGTAAGGATGAGGAAGAGGCCCGAGATGGTGATTACTTTGAGATGCAGGTTAAGACTCTCTCTCAAGTTCTTAAATAAATGCGCAGATGCCACTTCATTTTTGTAACTTTAGCATCTAAATACTTCAGGATTTGAGTTTTCAGTTGGGTCTGGTTCAAATGGTGGTCTAACATTTTAATTACTTGACATGCTTGGGGGGAAAAACGTTCGGTTGCTCTTGTCCTGCTATTGTTCTTCTTCTTGTTGGTGTCCTTTTCTTTCTTCCTCTGTTTGGTGATAATGTTGGTCTAGCATTTCAATTTAATGTGGCTAATTAAATTGACATATGCAGATTAAAATATGCAATGGGAAGTTAGTACAAGTGGTTGCTTCAGTAAAAGGGTTCTACACTTTGGGAAAACAATTTCTACAAAGCTACTCTGTGGTGGATCTTTTGCAGCAGCTAAGCCAAGCTTTTGCAAATGTAAGTGCTTAATCTTTTAACCAACAAGTAGTGGTTAGCAACTCCATATCCTCACATAGTTTTTTATCCTTCTACAGCAGTCAATTGTTTCAGCACTTTTAGCAAGTATGATTTCACTGATATGTGATTTCAACAAAAAGCAAGAGAACGAGAGAAAATATGTTTCGGTGTTTGTTGGGATTTAACAACAATTTAAGTCCACTAAAAAACACACACAATCGAAGAATAAATCAAGAATATAAAGCAATAAGAAACAAGAAAGAACAAGACACAGATTTTACATGGTTCGGCAATTTGCCTACGTCCACGAAGCTGCAGAAATTTCACTATTGAGAGAGTTGAATATAGAGAGCGGCTGTACAATCCACCATATTAACTCTAATCATCAAAACAACGGGTTTTATATGTCTTACGCACTGGGCTATATAACAGCCCCAAAAAATTTCCTCGGGGGCGTTGTCCCTGAACCCCCACGAGGCTTGTCCATGAGCACTACAGCTTGGCCCGATCGGCCCAAGCCTTCGCTCCATGGATTAAGTCTTAGAAAATTTTTCATTAAAAAACCACACAACATTACTTCGGGTCGGGTCATCATCCGGATCATATATACAAACTAGACTCCACAAAAAACCAACAGTGTTCTCTATGTTTGATTCACTAGTATATTTCCAAAATGCATGATTATATGTTGCCTTTGTTTATTTGGGTCCATTTTCCCCGATCAATAGTCTCTTAGCAATTTGCTTTCAGAAACAGATCACTTGAACTGTAAAGTGGTGAGTAATGATCTGATGCTGTGTGCAGGCATACGAGTCCTTGATGAAAGCTTTTGTAGAACACAATAAGGTGACATGTTATTTACTTAAAGAAGCTTCCATTGCAAATGCGATGATGTCAGAAGAAGTGAATAAGCTCTTTCTCTGATGTTTCTTCCAGTTTGGAAATCTTCCGTATGGTTTTCGTGCCAATACATGGCTTGTCCCTCCTGCTGTTACTTATTCTGCAACAAACTTCCTGCCCCTTCCAACAGAAGATGAGAACTGGGATGGAAATGGTGGAGGCCAGGGAAGATACGGTGAATATGATCTTAGACCATGGGCAACAGATTTTGCGGTATTGGCTAGCCTTCCTTGCAACACTGAGGAGGAGAGGGTGGTCCGAGACCGGAAAGCTTTCTTGCTTCATAGCCTGTTCGTTGATGTCTCAATTTTTAAAGCTGTCTCAGCCATACGCCAGGTATTAAGTTCTTCTATGAAGGAAAAAGACGCATCAAATTTATCTCCAGGCTTAATCTTGCATGAGGATCGTGTTGGGGACTTGACTATTACAATACAACGAGATGCCGTGCATACAAGCTTGGATTCAGAAGTAAAAATTATTGGAAGTGAATCATCCGGTATGTCTGCTAAGGATGTTTCTCAAAGGAATCTACTGAAAGGGGTGACTGCAGATGAAAGTGTAGTTATACGTGTAAGCAATTATTCCTCATAACTGCATGGCTTACTTTTTGACTTATTGTGATTGTACAAATAAAAAGCAACATAAGAGCTAAAAGTTACAAACAAAGCGAGAGGTCACATTTCTATATCCCCGAACCCTAATTTTTCTATTGATGTCAGTCTAGGTTATTTAGGTTACATCCCTCTTTCTAAACGAATATTTGTTTATAAGCAGTAAAGACATCTCATTTTTGCAATGCATCTTATTAGGACCATATTAGTAATTGAATTAGGCCATTTTTGTTTTGCTAAAATTCCAATACAAATTCTCCCTCTTCTCCCACTGAAAAGTTACATTTTGTGGATTTGGTTGTATGGGTAGGTCATAATTGATAGAATTTTGAAATTGGGAACTAAAAATACAAGATTTGAAAGCTCGGAAGTTGTTTGTAAAAAATGTTGTAAACAGTTCTCTCAAGGGTTGTCCTTTTTTTCCTATTCTTTTCTGATTTTGCTCTGACTGGGAGAACTGAAGCAAACAGTTGAATTTGCAGGATACCTCCTCACTAGGTTGTGTTGTTGTGAGACATTGTGGATATACTGCAATTGTGAAGATTGTGGGTGATATTAAGAAGGGAAAATGCTTGGCTCAAGATGTGGACATTGATGACCAACCAGATGGAGGAGCCAATGCACTTAATGTTAACAGGTTTCGCTTGATACTCTGCACATAAAACATGTCAAGGATATGAAATGGCTTGTCATCTCTTCATTGGAAACAAAGAAAAATGTTTTTCATTCCTCTGTATCTGTGCCAAAGCTAAAATTAGTGTGGCAGCTATAGTGCTCTTTACCACGATATGATGGGGCGTGATATGTAGCATTATTAACTAGGATGCCCATATTGTCAATTTATAGAAGAGTACTTAGTCCACCTGCCTAATCCTCTCTTTGATGGGTACCAGATGAGCCAAAAAAAGTGGGATCGCAACGCATGTTGATTTATCCACGCCTTGTAGAGCATGTTTGACTGTCAAAGGATTCTCCTTCCTGTCTTAAATTTATGAATTATAGTTCATAGCTGGAATTTTTAGTTTATTGCATGTTATCCTTTCTAGTAGTAAGGAGCACTGGAGGAAATGCAACTGAGTCTGAAAGGCTCTGAAATTACTCATGTTTTTAACTACTTTGCACCAGCATGTACTTGCACTGCAAAGTAAAAGCAAACATTGTAATGCTCTAAGAGCAAATGATGCCGAAATATGCAAGTGCCATTGTTGTTATCATCCTTAATAAAGAGAGCTTCTAATTTGAAGACTATTTAACATTGTTCTACAAAAACCTTACATAGCTGCATGTAATGGGTTTATTATGTGTTACATCTTCTGGCAGCTTAAGGGTTCTGCTTCATGTGTCATCTAATTCCGAATCGCCCGGAGGATCCCAGTCACCTCAATCTAAGCTAAATGATCTTGAAACTTCAAGAAGCCTGGTTCGTAGAGTAGTCAAAGAAAGCTTGTCCAAGTTAGAGGACAAAACAATGGGTTCCGAAAGGTCTATCAGATGGGAACTTGGTTCTTGTTGGGTGCAGCATCTACAAAAGCAGGAAACACCAGTGGACAACAGTGCTAAAAGCCCCGAGGCTGATGATAAGGCTGAACAACTGGTTAAAGGACTTGGGAAACAATTTAAAATGCTGAAGAAGAGGGAAACAAAACCAAGTAATGTTTCTGGTCTGAAAGTTAATGACGAAAATGATCTGACTGCCAGCAGCCTAAATGTAGAAAGCAGAACTGGAGAGCTAAATGATAGCCTGTCTAACTGTGAGGTGGAGTTGAAGAAATTAATTCCTGAAGATGCATTCGTACGATTGAAAGAAACTTGGACAGGCCTTCATTTAAAGGTAATAATTTCAATTATTGGGCATTATCAGCTTTATGTAATTGTTACGCTATTAGTTTGACAAGCTACAAAAGAAAAGGGGCAAAAAGAGTGGATGAAAGCAGTATCCCATTGCTAATGACATGTTATTATAGCTTCATCAACTGATTAGTTGTGTATCTCATTGTCGTTGTTGTTTTTGATGCAATGATGTTCTTACATTATTACTTTTCTTTAAATTAACCAATTAAACTTGGTTTATCTAACAGTCGGTGGATGAGCTCATCAAAATGGCACACAAGTATTATGATGAAATTGCTTTGCCTAAGCTGGTAATACTTGGTGTATGCATTGAGTTTGAATCAATTTGAAAGTTTAGGGTTGTCTTATGTAATCTGCAAACTTCACTATCATTATGTTTATTAGGTGACAGACTTTGGATCTCTTGAACTTTCACCGGTTGATGGACGCACACTAACTGATTTCATGCATCTAAGAGGACTACAAATGCGTTCTTTGGGTCGTGTGGTGAGAAAATATTCCTCTCTCTCTCTACCTCCCCCTCCCTCCCTCTTTGTGCTTGTGTTGTCGAATTTCCAATTAATCAAAAAGTTTAAGCTGTTGGAGAATGCGCCCAGGCTTGTATACCAAGCTCTCAGTACCCCTTCATGTGTGACTCCACATCACATGTGGAGATGACAAACAGAATGGGAACATACTTATGCACGAACATGAGAGGGGAGACATATGGAGACCAAGAGAGTTAAACCCATGATCTTATGGAACCAAAGTTTTGTACAAGTCAGACAACCAAGAGCTTACTTAAGCCTATAGGAGTGGGCCTAACAGTTTATATCAAGCTCTCAACATGCGAACACGTGCCTGAACTCTCATTCACAATGCCTACGTGTGCAGGCCAACTCCAATTTGGCTCTGTGCCAATCATAAGTATTCTTTTTTAAATTGTTGTGCATGATGCATCAAATGTAAAACATCTTCATCAGCATTAAATGAATGGTATGAAACAAAGTTTTGCAGAAGGAAGGCTTTTGATTTTTTTTTACTTGAATGCATTAGTAACTATGTATTAAATATGATCTTTATGGTGCACACCAGGTTGAACTTGCAGAGAAGCTTCCTCATATTCAGTCTCTTTGTATTCATGAGATGGTCACTCGTGCTTTCAAGCATGTACTTCAAGCTGTTATTGCTTCAGTGGACAATGTGGCAGACTTGTCTGTAGCAATAGCATCATCCCTGAATTTCTTGCTTGGTGCCTGCTCAATGGAAAATAATGACGAAAACTCGAGTGGTGATCACATCATCAAATTGCAATGGTTACGAATGTTTCTTGCCAAAAGATTTGGTTGGAGGCTAAAAGACGAAACCCAACATTTGAGAAAATTATCAATCCTTCGAGGACTTTGCCATAAGGTATAATCTACATTGATTCCTGTGAATCCTGGTTTAGTTGAGAACTAGTTTTTTACAATTTCAACTTATCCAGGTTGGATTGGAGTTGGTTCCAAGAGACTATGATATGGATAGACCAAACCCCTTTAAGCAATCTGATGTCCTCAGCATAATTCCCGTGTGTAAGGTAGGTCTCAGTCTCTGTCTCTCTTCCCCAAATAAGTTGAATTTTACTTGATGTTCCCTCTAGATAATTCAATGACTAATGGCTTTTCAATAACCTTGGTATCCAATGATGCTCAACAGCATGTAGGATGCTTTTCTTCAGATGGGCGAACTCTGCTAGAATCATCTAAGATTGCACTGGATAAAGGGAAGCTAGAAGATGCTGTTAATTATGGGACTAAGGTGATAGGCCTTCCAATAAAAATCAATGACCTGTGTGAATATCATTTCTGAATAGGACAAAAACTTATCCAGTTTATCTCTGACTTGAATGAAGGCACTGGCAAAGATGATAGCTGTATGCGGTCCCTATCATCGAGCAACTGCAAGTGCATACAGTCTTCTAGCTGTTGTTCTTTACCACACTGGAGACTTTAATCAGGTAACACATAACCAGTGTTGAGAGAGCATCCATACTAAACATAAAAATGGAGAACAGACTAGAAATACTAAACGTAAAAATCCCACTTAACGCCAAGTCTCCACAGGTATGTGAAAACCATGGATATCATGTGCAGTAACGTACAGTATATATGTGTCATTTTAATAGTGAACTGTCCTATACTGGGAGCCTGCATCCAAATTTAGTAATAAGCTACTGAATATATGTGAACAATTGAACATAATCCCATACATTTGTTTCTTGTAATGCTGAGTCACCAGCTTTTGCTTTGTTGATGATGTTGCAAACCAAGAATGGCATCTGAAAATTTTGATACTTGCGTAGCCAACTTTTTCTTGTGTCTGACTTTTATGCTTCTTCCTTCTTTAGGCAACCATATATCAACAAAAGGCTTTGGATATCAATGAGCGGGAGCTTGGGCTTGACCATCCAGATACAATGAAAAGCTATGGGGATCTTTCTGTGTTTTACTATCGTCTCCAACACATTGAATTGGCACTGAAGTGAGTTTAAAATGACCTTGTTTGCACAGATCATTCTTCAGTTTGATTTACCAAAACTATGGCCTTTGTGCTTCCATTTTTTTAAGAATATAATTCAGTTTTAGTGTTCCTAATTCAACTAAGTTCTTCCTCCCTTAATCTTTCTGTTGAATCTGCCTTTTTTGCGTCATTCTCATTCATTCTGTTTTTGTAGTTAAGAGATGTGAACATTGCATTGTTTTTTGGTCTTTCCACTCGTTTGATTTCTTAGCCAGAATTGATGGTTTTATATTTGGCAGATACGTGAACCGTGCTTTGTTCCTTCTTCATTTTACATGTGGTCTGTCTCACCCAAACACAGCTGCAACTTATATAAATGTGGCTATGATGGAAGAGGGCATGGGAAATGTAAATGTTGCTCTCAGATACCTGCATGAAGCCCTTAAATGCAACCAAGGATTGTTAGGAGCAGATCACATACAGGTCTCTCTCTCTCTCAAACTTCACACACATGCACACACACACCTGCGCTTGCATGTACACACATAAATGTGCACAAATGCATATATACATGCATATCTTCGGCACAGATGCTTCAAGTCTCCTAGGAGATAAAGTTACTGTCTTTTCATTTGGCAGACTGCTGCTAGCTATCATGCCATAGCAATAGCGCTTTCATTAATGGAAGCATATTCCCTCAGTGTGCAACATGAACAAACTACACTACAGATTCTTCAAGCCAAACTTGGTACAGAGGATCTTCGTACTCAGGTGACTACAAAGTTTTGAAACCATTTGCCATTGTTGTTACTATCAATCTATCAGGCTGTATTGGCTACTTTGGCTTCTTTGTTTAATACCACGATGTTTCTGGAGGGAAAAACACAATATTGAACTTGTTGCAGCAATTTATCCCTAGACGTTGACAAATACAGACAGAGACTTCATTTGAGTATTCCCATTTCTTGTGAATTGGGAAGACTTCGTAGCTGTAAAAGTATTAGCATGGATAGTGGTGATATTTCCCTATAATGTTTGTAACAGCAATTTCTTTATGATCTTGCAATTGTGAAATGTTCCTACTTGGTCACACTAAGAGTTGTTAAAAATACTCAATTGAAATAGTTGAGTGCATAGTTGTTAGTATCGTATAATATGCGATATGATTCATTTTGATACATGAACAAAACAATACGTATCGCTTAAGTGTATTAGTTTGTTCCGTATTGTGCGATACATCATACATGATACGATACACCTGATACAAGATGATACGTACGAGACGTCCAATACGACCAAACAAATCAAATTTTTTTTTTTTTTAATTTTTACCAAAAAATGACACATTTTCACTTGGAAGTAATTTTTTCAAATATTAGGTAATGAAACTTCGTCGTTTCACCATCTACCGTTTTAAAAAATAAAAATCTTCTTTTTTATTCGTTCTATCATATGAACAAATAGTTTGATTGCTAAAAATATCCTTCTCCGGTTACTTTAGATGTTAGAACTAGAACTCTTTAAATTTTGATATTGATGAATTATGTTAGAAACTTCAATACTTAGATTGTTAAGTTTTTGTTTTGGTCCTTGTAGTCTCTTTAAATTGTTTTATGTGAGAAATTTGTGGTGCAATGAAATGTTATTATGACATTTTGTCATAGGTATATATGTATTAAAAAATTTTATGTATCTTACGATACACAATACATGATACAATGTTTTTGAAAAATAATACGCTTTCCAATACACATTTTGACGACCTTGGTTGGGTGTGAATGTGTGATTGCACCGACTGTGAGAAGCATGTCATCACTCAATCAACTGTCAAAGTTATGAAAGATGCAAACTGATATATTGATGTACATGCAGGATGCTGCTTCATGGCTTGAGTATTTTGAATCAAAAGCCTTTGAGCAGCAAGAAGCAGCACTGAATGGAACGCCAAAGCCAGATGCATCCATTGCCAGTAAAGGCCACCTTAGGTATTGACATGGTATTTGCCCAATTACGTTGTTTAAACTGTGATCATACTTCAAAAACCTTTGATCTTTGATTGCAGCGTATCAGATCTCCTTGATTACATAAGTCCTGATCAGAATTCAAAAGCAGGAAATGCTCAGAGGAAACAGCGTGCGAAGGTAGTTAGCTACATTCTTTTAAAATGATACCTTTTGTACCTTTTGGGTTATTTGAATGATCTGATCCTCAAGTCACCATTACCATGCTACTTCTGTCTGGATGAACTATAAATACCCTCCTCAGCTTTAAAGTTTACCAAGAAATTGCCAACTGGTTGGTAGATTCAAATTCGCATGGGAGACCAAATCTAATAGAGGAAAATTCAGACAAAATTTATGTTTTGGCTTTTTTTCCTCAAAACTTAGGAGAACTTTGGCAGTATTTTTGTTAGTCGAAATCTGGAGGATACCTGAGAGAATGTAGCCATTAAGTAATTCTTCCCTAATTAACCATAAGAAGTACTCATTTGTTTTCAGATTCTGAGATGGTTTATATGTTATTCTCGTTGCAGAAACTTATGAAGGATTTTCAAACTTCTGAGTTTTAGTCGTAGTAAATTTCCTGTGAATCAAAATCCAAATAAAACCATGTAATGCAGTTTGCTTTTTCAAGATGAATTTATAATTTTTCTCTTTCCTTGATGATCTGTTAGGTGTTGGCCATTAGTGACAAATTCCACGAAGTGCAGCATGATGCAAGAAATGATGACACTGTGACTTGCGATGGAACAGAAATCTCTAAGGCCCTGGTAGACAGCAATATAGAGGAGAAGGCAAATACGGTTCTTCCTCGAGAACCTAAAGATAGCGATAGTGCCACACTTGATCTTACAGTTACAGAAGTTTTCCAAGAATCGAGCTCAGATGAAGGCTGGCAAGAAGCCAATTCTAGAGCACGGTCAGGAAATCGCGCTGCTAGGAAAGGTCGAAGGCGACCAGATCTTGCTAAGCTAAAGATAAGTAGTTCTGAATACCCTAATTGTAGAGAAAGCAGTTATAGGAAGGAAGCTATTTTGCAAGGACAGAAAACTACGAACAACACAATTTCAACCGAATTGTCTCCCATGAAACCGCCCATCGTTCTTAGCATGAGTGCCGGCGAGGATTTGAGTAACCTTCCAGGAAAAACTTCACCTTCCAAACCCTCTCCCTCAGCAGTCTCCAAAGTTTCCCCTACTCGTGCCAATCTCACAGGCATAGCTTCAAAATATTTGTCATACAAAGAAGTAGCAGTGGCACCACCAGGTACGGTTCTAAAGCCCTTACTGGAAAAAATAGAAGAATTAAATGGTGAAGAAACTGATATCCAGATCTGCAATAGTCCACCCAAGACATCAACGGACGATGGGAGTGACAAAGGCGCCATAGATGCAGCAATAACAGGTGATGCAGATATGAACGGAGTCCAGGAAGGTGAAGTTCTTGGAAGTGGACCTGTTTTGGAAAAATCTGCACCAGAACTTGAAGACATTCCGTGCTCAGGTGATCAGGATAACCTTGTAGAAACTAACGGCAGCAAACTTTCGGCTGCAGCTCCACCATTCAATCCAGGTGCCTTCCCTTTGACGCACCCATTGAACTCAGTTGCTGTCACTGGTGTATATGATGTAATAGCCAGCCATGGAATGCTTGCAGAGCCAGTGGGATTCCCATCAATTGCTGCTAGAGTTCCTTGTGGGCCTAGATCCCCCTTGTATTACAAAACGAGCCATTCTTTCCGCATGAAACATGGATTTTTGAAATACCAAATCCCGATCACAGAAAGAACTGGACTTGGCTCTGCAAGAAACATGAATCCACATGCACCAGAATTTGTTCCTCGAAACGCTTGGCAAGCAAATCCAGAAAGTGAAGATTCAGAAGGTTCAACTGATTCAAAGTGTTTGGTTGATTCTAACGAGGGGTTTTCTTCTGAAAAGAAACATGAGAAAAAGGATACCAATGAAATTAAAGATAACAGATCTAGGAAAAGCACTTCAGATGCAGAGAAGGCGGAGCTTGCAAGACAGATACTGCTTAGCTTCATTGTTAAGTCAGTTCAGCATAATTCAGATCTCGCGAGTGAGCATCCAGTTAGTGAGAAGAAGAAACCTGAGTTTTCAGAAAGTTCTAGTGAAGCAATTGTAAATGACAATGCAATTATAAAAATTGTCACTGGGAATGAAGGAAAGACAAAACTGGCTCAGCAAGCTGCGAATAATGAACAGCTAAAATCTCTAGATATAAATAACAATAAGCATGGCGATGGAGAAGGATTTGTAGTTGTCAGAAAACGGAGAAGAAACCGGCAGCATTTCACAAACCGGGCAAGTGGGCTGTACAACCAGCAATCCATCTGTGCATCAGTCCGTTGAAGACATGGTAGAGTTGAAACGAAGTCGAGCGAAACAGGTTCTCCTTTTCATAAATCAATCCTAGTCTGGCAGAGACCTCTTCAAATCAACCCTTTAACATTGTAGAAATGCCTGATTTTGTTGATTAATAAAAATCTAATATTTTTTTCTTGTTAATTTGTTTGTTTTCTGGTGGAAGCTTAGAACTGTCGGACCAGCCATCTTGTTTTTTTTTTTTTTTGGTCAGACATTATTACAGAGGAAGGGACGATGAAGTTTGAACCTGCCAAGGTCCTGTGGGGGTGGTTGGCCTATTTTTTTTGTCAACGGTATTTGCTTTATGGTGGAAGCTTAGGAATTATTCTGATGGAAGTTTAGGTAAATTATAATCAAAACTTCTTCTCCCAGGTGCTCTTTTCTATTGACTAGCTTCATTATGTTCTGCTTGTGTTATTGTGATTATCACAGAATGAGGAAAATAGACAGATTGGTTTCTTTGTAAGATGTCATTGTTAGGGGCTCTTGTTTCTGGGCATATCGATGGGAATAAGAGCAGGTGGTGGGTGAGACATTTCGTTGTTGGCTTGCTCGTTTATTCTACAAATAATTCCTTGGCATTAGTATCGCCAATTGATCCTAGTTCTCCGGGCACTACAGTGTGGGTCGATACGAACGAGAGATTAGTTCAATTCAGGCGGGACCAAAGCCAAGAATGGTCTGAATTCGAGACTTGGGGGTTTTTTTTCTTGGATGATGATCGGGTGCTTCGTACAATCAAGGTGAAAGGTGAAATACAAGAGATTGGTGGTCTAGGCAAACCCACAAACAAATATGGAACATCATGTTGGAATTAGGTTTATGTGAGAAATAATTTGGACCAGTCCTTCAAAGGGTGCATTTGTAAAGATGACCAAAAAAAAAGTTTAGAAGGTGATTTTTTCCCCAACTAGATTGGACTTATTTGAGTCTCGGCACAGTCATAAAATTATTTTATTATGACTTGGGCGTTAAGGATTTGAGTTACGAAAACAAATTTTTTGCATGCGAAAATAAGACAATGTATTTATGAGGATTGTGTATATTAGAATCTTCTTAGACTGTAAGTGTTAGGAACATCGTGCTCTAGCCTATTCTTTCTTTTTTTTTTTAAAGAAGATTGAACTTCTTAGAGCACCTGCCCAATTCTTTTCGATACATGCAATCTCTCGGAAAAGTTACCATAATGAATGTGAGTGAAGTGACCCATCTAAATGAGTCACTCACTCTAACTAGTATTAAGTCTCGTATTGATATATCTAACTTGATGATTTATTAACTCTGAGGTGGTTATTTCGCTATTCCTGACTTTAGGAAAGAATAGAGTAAGGGATGCCCTTTTAGGAAATCCTTCATCCCACCATTCTTGACGTTAGAAAGAAATAAAGTAAGGAATGACCTTTCAAAAAAGAGTTGCTTTTCCCATCCCACCATTCCTGATAAAGTAAGGAATGACCTTTCAAAAAAGAGTTGCTTTTCCCATCCCACCATTCCTGACCTCAGTCAGGAATGAAGTAAGGAATGACATTTTGCTAAAAGTAAATGAGTTTTTGTTATCTCTCATACCCTTTAGAAAAAAATGGAGTAAGAGATGGTCCTCCAGAAAGGAGTTGTTTTTCCCATCCCGTCATTCCTGACCTCAGTCAAGAATGAAGTAAGGAATAACCTTTTATTAAAAAAATGAGTTTTTAATGTCTCCCATACTTTTTTTGAGGGTATAGAACTATCATCGCATCAACATAATTGTCAAGAGAAAGCCCAAATTGTGACCATAATTGATAAACGTCAAGTCAAATAATTGTTAAAGTTGCTTAACAAATATATGATTATAATTAACCAAAATATATATTTCCAAACCATGGGGAGGACAGTCACCCTCACCCTTCTCCTATCCATTATTGAAGAAGAAAAAAAAGTCATGCAAGCAGTCAATCACAACAGTGCATCACAAGATTTTTCTCTGGGACTTAGAAATGATCTTTTTTTTTTTACCATAGAAATGAGATAACTAAATGTGGTAGAGAATGATGTGAACATATGACATGTACATGTTAGCTACCAGCTAACATGCAATTCAAAGATTCCTTTTAACTTTAGGGATAATCCAAAACTAACAAGCCATAGAAATTATTCTTGGCCTTATTCAAATATGCACACATCACCATCTTAGAAAACGAAAAAGGAAAGATGATAGAGAAAGCTGAACAGGAAAATATCGACTCGTGATCATGTAGAAAGCATGATTAAGTTGAAATAAATACGCTAAACTAAGTGTTGGCGTGAAAGAATCACTCACAAAACAGAATTTCACATTACGTTTTTTATCTCAGAATGGTTTATTCTTTCATTTTTGTTTGTTTGTTTGTTCGGGATTATGTGCATAACATGTAAGTATCTTGGAATTCTTGCTAGCCTCATGCTTGTATTCCATATACAAGTAAGGGGAAGAAGACAGAATTAAGCCTCGGTAAATGACTAATTCATCCGGCAGTCCACCGGACTATGTTACCAACCCTAGGCCGTCACGTGACAGCCCGTGAACAACCCGATAGCCATACGAGTAGGTCCATATGCAATCATTTTGGGCCCCTAATACCAGAGAGTGTAATGATTAAGGTCTGTGAAGGTGGCCCACCAGATAGGCCCGTGTCCCGATCCATCGGCGCAAAAAACTACTATAAAGTAAATTAATTTTAAGATCACACTGTGGGATGTTATTTCTTGGCTGGGATAGCTTGGCCCGGTCTGAGAACCAGTTAACCGACTTGCCCCGGGCTGTTGCCTGGCCTGAAGGGGCAATCAGGCCCCGTAGAGATGAAGTATTTTTTGAGTGAGACTAATAACCGAGCTCATTTTTTTAAACGAATTTAAAAAATTGTTAAAACTTGACTTGTTTAAAAATAAATCGAGCCCAAAACGAAAAAAACCTGAGTTGAATCTAAGTAATTCGATTATTTAACATATAAACGAGCCAAATTTTTTAGACTTGTTTTTTAAATAAGTCTAAAAATTTATTCAAAATTAACTCGTCTAAAACACGAGACTAACTCAAATGAAGTCCTATCTGAACCAAAACCAGAATAGTATAATTCAATTGTTAATCTTATTTTAAAGTGAATGCAAGGAACGTTCCATTGTCATGTTTGGAAAATATGCTTCGATAGGAAGTCAAAAAATGCCTAGTCCAAAGATAAGATTCTTGCTGCCTCCCTGTCACAATCTAGGCAGAATTTAAGGCATATATAGTTTTTTTTTTTAATGTCCTTTGAGACTTCTCGTGTCATTTCTAACTTAAAATCATAGATTTCTAAGTAGTGTTTTTTCTTTGGGTTTGACACTGTTACAGAGAATGAGTCCGGGAGGTTTCAAATCACCATCTTTTGTAAAATACACTTTTCTTCTTTTATATGCCAAAAAAGTCAAAAACGTCACTTTTCCAACAGGTTCCTAAACAATGAATACAATAATAATAACTTTTGTTAGCCACAAGGTCCACCCTTTTTGTGTAATGAGATGCCTCAACCTATTGTTTTTGATGGGATTTATAGCCTATAGTTTTTTTTTTTTTTCCTTCCGTTAGATATTCGGTTCTCTTGGAATAACGACTAATGTTTTCCAAAACAATGATCACCTATTTTTTCCTTTATGTGGAATAACCATGATAAATTGGTAGGAGCCATAATTTTTTTTTTTTTTTTAAATTTAACGATTAGGATGTTTGGATCAGTTTACGCGTACTTCGATTAATCTCCTATTTAGTTCGGTCAAAGACAAGTCATCCACGCCGGAACTAGAGTATTTATGAAGATAAATTTCTTATAATCTGATCCCAGGTGATTGCTAAGATTCAAACTTAATTCAACAATTATGATTTCATATAATGTAATTTTGGTCACCAATTTTATCTGTTGATTCCACTTATAATTAGGGTTCTTAATGAGTCGTGTTATATTTTTATAGCGTTTTAACTTGTATCGTCTCAAAATTTTCTCTACTCCTTTCTTACTAATTTATAATCGTATATGTTTAACCAAGTTCGTATCAATCCGCTTACTTAATGAGACTGTTGGATCAAGCATTCATCATTCAAGCTTATTAAAACTAAATCAAAATACGCTAATTTCGTAGACTAGATGTGCATGGAGAAACTTTGGCCACTGTGTGGTGCACACCATAATAAATCTTATGCGGTCAGCACTGAACAAAACGGATGACATTAAATTAATTGCAAAGGTCTAACTTTACCCCCTCTTAGTTCGTTGGCTCGGTATTGACATGTGGTTACTTCGTTTAAAGATATCTATGTCTTAGTTAAATTGGGTTATGTTTGATGAAGCAAACCGTTAGCATAAAGTTGGTTCCTAAAAACTTGGACGCATGTTTGATTGGGTTACAAAGTGGTTTGGCAAAGACACAAGTGACATGAAACGATTATGTCATTGGCTCAAGTTATTATGACTCTTCGACTCAAAGTATATCTGTTGTTGTCAATAGAGATTTGCTCACTAATACTATTATAGGAGGGTGCTCCGCGAAGGGGGGTGCCAGACCAACCTCCCTATGGACTCCTATGCCCCTAAGCCATGACACATTAAAGGAAGACATGACCTCAACAAATGCTTGCCATGGTTAGAGGCAAGGCATTCTAAAGTCTGAGACCCGATATGTAGATTCGATGATCGGTGGGACCCATCGTTGATGGAAGCCCCACTCATGGCTGAGAAAAACAGTGCATGCATGGGCACGTTGAACACAATTGGTTAGTTGATTAAAGCCCTATACATGACTAAGGAAGACAGCTCATGCATGGCACCTTGGACACAAGCAAGCAAGGCTAGCTGTTAGGCTCGAATTGCAGGACATTGCTAGGTTGAAAGACCAAGCCATGGGCTAGACATGACTTGGCATGAAGGAAATGCTAATTAGGTGTTGTTGGCTCACAAGGAAGGCAAGTGCACGATATGTGAAGGGGTTTTGAGCAGTTAAGGCATGTGCACTATAGGTGGTGGCTGTTCCAAACGATTGCTAGCATGTGCATGGCATGCAGGACTGTTTTGTGCAATTATTTGCATGTGCACAACATGAGAGAAATTATTGGCATATGCACATAGTATGCACATCAATTAAAAGCAGTTGCTGGCTAGGTCAACCAACAGTTGCAACTACCTACTGCCATGATCAGCATATTGTGGGAGTGACAGAGAGACTCAGTCATGATCAGCAGGTTGTGACAAGCTTTATGGGCGAGTCTAACGTGTCTTGTATGGCCTAGGCAGTTGTGTAACGCCCCAAAACACACCCTGAACAGCATTACATTTTAAAATCATTCATATCATGAGAGCACTAATATAATCCTTTAAAAAACAAGACTTTATTTGTCATCCACAAATATTTACAGCATTATCCAAAAGAATAAGCCCAAGTCATGACTATTACATCTCAAAAATTAATTAAAGAAGCACAGCGGAATAAACAAAAGAAGCTAGACTACACAATGTTCCAAAAGAATGTCTTAGTCTAGTACAAAAGGAAAGGAGGTCACTCTATGCGTCCATCTCAGGATCTACACTTCCATCCAGTGGAGTCTCTCAAGTAGCGGGCTCCTCGACCCTTACGTCCTCCTCCTCAAGCGGATAATCTGAAAAATGTTAGTGATAGGGGGTGAGCACGAAACTCTGTAGAAAAATTCTCTCAAACCTATACAAGGTTTAGAAAAGCATTTAAAATGGTCGGTCTCAATTTTAACATAACATAAATACATAATTTGAAATAAAGCAGTGACATTTAAAAAGGATCTCAAGTTTATTTAACAACATTACTTAAATGAATAAACGAGTACTACATACAATTAATAACCATTAATTGTTATAACCAATTCTCAATAATTCTTTCGGTAAGTGGCATACTTTGTGGTAACCTCCACCCCCCTTTAGGTCACCTTCGATTCTCAAGCATCCTTACCGCGAACCTCTTGAAAATAGATGAGCATCCTTACATGGAACTTCTCACCAATCACTACATTATTTTTCAAGCATTCTTACCGGGAACCTCTTGGGAAGGGGTGAACATCCTCACAAGGAACCTCTCACTCATGTGCATCACAAACAACTCAACTAAGCATATAATTCTAACATTTATCTCAATTTACAAGCATCTATCCAAAATTTCTAAAATATATCATATAACAATTCCACAACCAATTAAGAAAATACATAAGATTACAATAACATCATTTTTCTATCCAACACAAAGCACTAAGGTTTCGAAATCCATACTAAAGAAAGCATTTAGGAAGAAAATACATTACTCTCCAAAAATTAGGGTTTTAAAACTAGAAAGGAGATTTCATGGGTATTAAACCCTACTTTGTTCAAAACATGTAATTCTTGCAAAAAGTCTAAGAAATGATGATTTCATAGCATATTTATACCATTGATAGCCAAAACATACATATATAAATACCCTAGCTTCAATGTAAGTGAATGAGAGAAAACTTCAACCTTGAATCCTTAGTTTTGGTGTGAAGAACAAGAATATTTGATCTTGAATCACGCTTAAATCACTTATTTTTCTCTTCCTTTCTTCTTCTCTAATGCTCTCTAGGGTTTTAAGAGGTGTGGGGGTGTGAGGGGAGTGAAGGAAATGAAAGCAAATGAGATAAAAATGAGTTTAAAACATAGCAGCCCCGAAAAACATTGTTCATAGATTGTTTTGGGTTTCTCAAAATTTATGATTTTGCCACTAAGAATCTCCAATTTGATCCATATGACTACCCTAAAGTTTGTCGACGTTTCGGATTCGTTTTTAATATTATTTTAACCTAAAAACATTTATTTTTATGATTTATCTCAAAACTCAAGTCAACGTACACCCGAAACACTAAAGTTTCTATTTTACCCATCCGAATCGGTTATTAATGAAATTTTGCGATGTTTGCAAATAAAATGTGATAAAGGGTGTTTCTTAAAAAATTTTATACTTATTTGAAACCTAAAAGTACTCATTATTCTTATATTTTGATTTAAGATGAAAATGGAGACATTAAATGCAAAACGAAGCTAATTGGACTATTTCGACATCGTTTCGTTATCTGAGCATAACTCTTTCATCCAAACTCCGATTGAGATGATTCAAGATGCTATGGAATGATACGAAAGAGCTCTAAAATTTTCATGTTTTGAATTTTGAGAGATATTGACTGCATCAAGGTCTAAATCGAGCTTGAAGTTGCAGTAATGCACTGTTCACAGCCTGTCTTCGTCCCTTTTCCATTTCCAATTCATTCCTAAGCCAACCAAATCTATCGCAAACCTCTCCAACACATATTTCTACACCAAACCTATTTAATACAAGTTCTAGGATCTAAAATTTCATATTTTCACTTATAAAAACCAAATTTTAACTATTATTTTCACTAACATTTTAAATTTCTATTTTTTCAATCTACCAAATTCAAACACACATCACTACATATATCCACATTTTTTTTACCACAATCATTTACTATATATCTATATACATATATAAAAGAAAATGCGGGGTGTTACAAGTTGGACTTGTAACTGCCACTTTTATGTTATTTATAGGCATACTAGGGTCTGCAGTACCGACAAGAGAGTTTGGACACGTTTCGTAAGCAAACTTCTAGTCGATTTTTTTTAAGCTTGCTGAAAAGTAAAAAATTTGGTCATTTGGCTTGTAATGCTTGTGTGCCTGCTCTGAGTTTATGTGATTGCCCATATTTTATTTATTGTGTGTTTCTGTGAACGATTGTGTGCATTGACTGAAACTAAATGTTGGATCTTAGTGTCGTCATGAGGCAGAAAATTTGAGTTTAATTTGATCCTCATGACACGTAAACAAATGAGACACTCCACAATTGGAAAAATATTAAGTGTAACCGTTACACCACATCAACAATATTACGTAATATAATAGTTCACTATTAAGTACACAAGTCAACAAATGAACCCCACTAAAACTTATAACCATCTACTCATGTAAAACATAATCAACCTCCATGATAAAGAAATAAACTTTATCTTATTTATTTTATTATTTTCTACTTTTCTTATTACATGCTTACACCCAATATTTACTCCCACAATTGGTAAGTTGTCAATGACTACTTTTTTGCAGCTTCTCATTTGTCAATGCTTCAAACCCATTTTAAACAGGTTATGAATTAATGCAACATTCAAAGAATTTAAGAACTCAATTTTGACATAATAAGAGTCAACGGAGAGATAGATTAGTATGACCCTTATAATGTTGCAAACGAAAGGATAATTCATGACCCGTAAAGAATGACATGGAAAACTTAAAAGAGCTTTAAAAATTAAACAACATGATTGGTGCTAAAACACATAACACAATTGGTAAAAACAAACAACTCCATAATAACATTCATTAATTTTCATAACAACAAGTGCTAAGTAGTCAAAGAAAATGAAAAAGAGCAACAAAACTTAATTTACTGATCTAATCAGTTATAATTATTGGATTTACAGTATATTTCAATATTCGTTAAAATTAATTAATAATACAATAATTATATTTGATTAGGCAGATAAATTATGTTAGCAAATCAATTCACCATAATATTATTGATTGAAGAAAAAACAAAGCAAAAGTAGGAGCTTTCTTGTTCAAATAGGTAAGTTAGTACATCTTTCAAACACACCAAGACCATCACATTCCATCAGGACATAACCCAGATTAAATCCCACAAGAATATATGTAATGACGCACAAATATTTATAAAATATCAGACACTAAGAAGAAGATGAATTGTCTCTAGGTGAGGAAATAGGAAACAAAGGTAGGAGCTCTGGTGGGTCAGACGCTCTGGGTGTGCTGAGTGGACTCGGGTGCAAGTAAAAACCTTTCTCTGCAATGGCTCTCTCTTCTTCTTCCAGAGGTGATCTAGGCGTTCTTGGACTTCCTTGTCCCAACAGATCCAGAGGTGATACAGGTGACACCATAAACATCTCTCCACCAAACCGTAGCAAGCCTCTTTGCCTAGCTGAAGTTGGAGTTGACCCACCAAAGCCAACTGAATTGCCACCACCATTGTTGAGCTTGATCTCGAGCTTGATTGCACTCTGTCTTCGTTCATGAAGCTTAAAGGTTGATCTCCGAGGACCCATCTCGCCGGAGGTAGGTTTTCCGGAGAGACGTGCCGGAACAGTGACTGGGAGCTTTTGGGTTGATGGGTCTTGGGTTGCACCAGTGAGTCTCTGGACTACGTCTCTGAAGGTTGATGGGTCGGCTTGGACAAAGGTGGTATTGGATTCGTAGCCTACATGCACTGATGATGAGGGTGCGGAGGGGACGTTGTTGTTATTAGGGTTCGAAGATGCCATGGCAGATATTGGGTGTAAGTGGTGAGCTGAGACTGAAAAAGAAAGCAAGAAAAAGGTCTGAAATGTGAGGTTTTTAAGCGTCTCTATCTTTGTAGAGAGAGAGAGAGAGAGGCTTTTGGCTTTGGTTCCCGCTCAAAGGTGCTTTATGGGGACATGGAATTCGAGGGTTGTAAATGGTCAAATACTCCGAGAAAGAAAGGAAATAAACAACGTAGTAAAACAAGTTGCTATTTCCACTCTAGTTCAATTGTTATTCCTTCCTGATACCCCTAACCAAGAAATGGAATGAAAAACGAATGTAACAATTAATATGGTAAATGAATCGTTTACTTTTAAATTAATAAAGTGAAACCAAAAGTCATTATTATTTCTACATTATTTTATTTTTATTTTTACCCTTATGTTTTGGTCATTCAATATTATCCTTCCTTGCAAGTAAGTCGTATTTATGATTCAAATGATTTATTTATCAATCAGTCTGATCTCATGTCTATTCCGTGTCTAATCCTATTCTCTATGTCATCGGCATTTGTATGTATAGTCTTCGCTCGAAAAAGAGTTTCGTCTCAAGCCTAGAATTGTTGATTTTACATGTTAGTGAACAGAAATTTTATGCTAAAACGTTGCATTGGAAGTATTATATTGTTCACTACTTACCAGGAAAAAAACACATGAATGACTTGATTGAACGACCAGATAGAAATTGAAATTAAGGGTGCAATTAGACGGATTGATAGTTCAACTCGGATTGAACCCATGTTATAAAACCTCCAAAAGTTGAGTTGAAGTTCAACCCCAAACAATTTGATCTCTATAATTGTAGTATCGATACCTAAATTTTTGAATTTGGGTTGAATTTTAAGATTTAATTTGAGTTAGTTTCTCATTTATATGATTTTAAACTGAGCATGAGTTTATTCAAATTTACATCAAGCAGGATTTTTTTTGTCTAAATTTGATCCGAATACTGAAAATCTGTATTTAAGTAGAAAATATTATAAGTTAGGCTTTGAATTAATTCATTTGAATTGCCCCTTACCTGAAAAATATGGGCCAGAAAAAGAAGTGGAAATAGTAAAAGAGGGGAATTTTCTTTTCGCTTCTGGGTTATTATTATTATTATTATTATTATGTAGCAATGACAAAAAGAGTTGAAAAGTTTGAAATTTGTAAAAGTGATTGATAAATAGAGGCTGTTAATTGTCGTGGCGGTAGTGGTGGGCGGTTGGCAATGAATGATGAGTAATGAGGGCGGGGGTCAACGGAGCACTGAAGCGGGAAACGAGGAAGACGAACCAGCAAGCACATAACCAGGCAGACGGCTCCGAACTTTTAGGGGTCGTTTGGTACGTGGGTTGGGGGGTTTGGAACATAGATCGAGAAATAAACTCATGTTTGACAATTATAAAATATAGACAAGATTTCAAACTCGGTCCGGTCACAAAATTTAAGGGGGATGAGTTTTATTTGTGGGTTTAGGAGGGGTTTAACATGTAAATAATATTTATAGTCCTATATATTCTATATACCTTAAGGGGTACAATAGTTATTTATATACAAATATATTATCATAATAGTCATATATCCCTGCGCATACCAAACATGCGTATAAGACAATATTAAATGTTGAATCTCATTTTTGGGTTAAACTCAAGTTCAATTCAAATCCCTCCTAAAAAACATATCAAACAGGCCCTTAGGATTTGTTTGGATGTATTTTTTTAAATTTAAACTATACTTTATAAAGATGAGATTTAATATTAAATGTAGTCTATATCTATATTTAGTATATTCACAGATATATTACTATTATAATACTTCATCTGTTTTTAAATATATATCGTTTAAGATTTTTGTACAAGGATTACAGAAACTATTAAATAGCTCTAATATGAGTAAAAAATAATTGTATAAGACTAAAATACCCTTATTCAATACGTATTAAGAAGAAAAAAAAAATATGAAAGGCACTTAGCCTCCACCTAATCTAATGCATTGAAAAGTTAAGGGTCAATTTGAAAGAAAAAATATTAATTATGTTTTGGTTTCATTAAACTACAGATATTATAGAACAAAAAAAATTATATAAAACGACAGATATTTAGGAATGAAGGGAGTAATATATTTATATTTAAATGACTATTTTACCTTTTCACCAATTAATCCAAACTCATGTTTATATACGTATGGGGTATAATTATTTTTATATATCCTGAATCCATTAATCCTCATCCAAAACTCACCTCTTCCCATAGGTTTGATGAAACTCATGATCTAAAATTTAAGGTCCGGGCCTATAGGGGGTTGGTCTTGGTAATTCAGACTTTAAATTTTTGGCCAAACATGAATTTTGTGTGTCATTTGAATTATTTTTTTCCAATTCATCTTCCAAAGCCCCCTAATCTCACTTACCAAACAGACCCTTGCTATTTGTGTGTGTGTGAATGTGTGAGAGAGAATTAATATTCCTGTCTTTTGTTTTGTTTTCTTCTTCTATTCTATGTTGCTGTCAGCGAGGTGAAATTGAAAAGTGAAGTGTGGATTAACATCTGTGTAAATTATGTAGTGACTTTTTGAGATTTATCATTTAATTATATAGGCTTTCTCGTGATATAATTGATTAACACCCCTTTACAATAATAGTACATTGACAGATGTGACAGAAGTTTTGAAATGACCCTTTTACCCTCTTAAAAATAAAAATTCGTCTAACCCAACCCAAAAAGTGCAAAACCCATATAACACTAATACCCGAAACAATACTAAACCCAAACTCGAAATTAAACAAAAACCCATGAAATACCACCCCTAAATATAATCTCCATCTTGTCTGCCTCCACACCATCACTAGACCCATTCCCATCCTCCCCTAGGCCCCTCTCTCAGCGCAAGATATAGAGTACCAAAAACGATTGAATTTGTTTTTCAAATTTCAAAGAAATGAAATCAACGAGATTTTTCGTTCATTGATGAATCTGGCTGGCGTTCACTTTTTGGGGGAGAGTGATGACCGGTTGGCGTTTCTTCAAGGAGTGGATGTTTCATTTCCTTAACTAGTTTTGAAAGATCAGTAATTGTGTTTAGGGGTACCACCGCCATTTTGCTTCAAAATGGACTTATTTCCAAAAAAAAAATTTAATTGGACTTTTTCTCAATTAAGTCCTACCTACAGAGAGGATCTACTTCCATTTTTCCCCAATTTAATCCTTTAATAAGTGGTTGTTTGTTTACGGTTTCTTTCGCCTACCCTTTCTATCCTTCTTTTTAGTAGCTTTTAAGACTCGACAAACGTCCCACGATCAATAGACAAGTTCGAAAGCCTGGTGGTCATTGGGTCTCGAGCCAGACCGGCCTGTTATGTGAAAGCCTAAGTACAACTGATCAGTCCGGTGGACTTTATTTGCCCGATCTGATATATTATCTATCATATATTCAAGTGAAATTATCGTTTAAACGTCTCTACCCCCACCGCTTCGCCTACTACGAACTTAAATCATTACATTACATGACTGCAAGTTAAAATGATCTATCAAAAAAAAAATTTAAGAAAAATCTATTTGAGTGAATCTGAATTCCTTTTTAAAAGGGTTGCATGGCAATTAAATAAGAGATACTCTCTTAGGAGGTTGAAAGGTATCAAACCTAATAATGACAAAAGTCTCGTGTATTAAGATGAATCAAGCAAATTTGCTGCAGGGTGCATGCAGTTGAATACTTAAACGCTAAGGTGTCAGTCAGAAATGGAACCTTAGCAGGAGAATGTGTTATTCACACAACCCTCCATAGATCTAACTTATTCAAAGGAAAAAAAAAACTAGTATATCAAGTATCCGAAAAATGAAAAGGGAGCATAAAGAAGTGAAACTAGAAAGAGGATGGCCACTGAGCAAAGAGAAAGGTTGAATCACAGAGAGAGATCAGCCAAATCAAAAGTCCTTGAAACAGCTTTGCACCAAGACTCCACCTTTTTCTTTCTCAGTCCTTCATCTAAATTTGGATTGAAAATGGTAGCTTTCTTCATCTTTTCCCCAGAAGAAAAAATTTCATCTTCAGTCCAGACCCCAACAGCTAATCCAGCAGCATAGGCTGCTCCAAGAGCTGTTGTCTCTATGTCAGCTGGTCTCACCACTGGGTTACCCAACAAGTTTGCCTGCAAATCATAACAACAACAAATTATATGGCTAAGTGAGCCAGATAGGGACAGTAAATATAGCCCATCCATTTATTCAAAAAGAAGGAAACTGATTAGACGATAGAGCCAGAAAATGAAGACAGTTCGGTATATAGCTATATAGCTATAAACGAAAATTCCTACAGGATAAATACAATATTACAGATGCTAACTAAATGCAATATAGAGATTATTATCTGTGACAATAGCCACGCGACCTATTGATGAAATCATTTTCTATTCAAGTGAACTCGCTGCCTGAACAACTAGGTGAAACATTAGTGAGGAAACGATGAATATTTCACATTGGATCAAAGTCAAACTAAGGATCTAATGGAAACTAACAGTAAAAAAAGGTGAGGAAATGTTATACAGTTCTATCTGACCGTTTATTGATCTGACAACTGGATTGAGGGAAAGAAAATTTTGAGTGACTAAAACTTTGAGGAGGCTCTTTCCTTGTATAAACTCCCAGAAGGCTGCATTTTTGAGCTAGACACCGATAGACCCATGAAATGGCTATAAAAAATCACATTACCATTAGTTTACAACACAATATTAAGAAATATAAATAAGAACATCCTTGCCGAGCAAAAGGTAAACTTCAAATGAAATCCCCTAGCAGTAAAGATATCATAAAAAACTTTAAATGTATTCAAAATTTTATAAAGCGAGCTAAAGAAAATGTCAGAAAACACCTATTTATAATTCTCATGAGGTTAAAAGAATTTAGAAAACTAGAAACAAGATCATATTGCTAATATCAAAACAAAGCAACAAACTGATTGGCTAAAATTCGAGAAGAATTCTCAAAAAAAAAAAATTAACGGTAGGCAGCAAAAAGGAAAGAAAAGGAAAGAAAAAAGGACCTGAATTTGCATCAGAAGGTTATTGACTGTAGCACCACCATCAACTCTAAGCAAAAACTCCCCCTTTTCATTTCTAACCTCACCCTTTTCTCCTGCATCCTTGTGCATCGAATCCAGCACATCCTTCACCTGAAAGCACATACTCTCAAGCACAGCCCGAGCAATGTGAGACTTGTTTGTAAACCTTGTGATCCCGATACAGATCCCTCGAGCATCATTGCGCCACCATGGAGCAAACAATCCATTAAATGCAGGCACAAAATAAACTCCACCTGTGGAGTCAACCTGCGATGCCAACGCCTCAATCTCGCTTGCAGTCTTAATTATCCCAAGACTATCTCTAAGCCACTGAACTGCAGCTCCTGCAATAGCGATTGAGCCTTCTAGAGCATAGTTTGCCGGAGAATTGGGTCCGAGCTTAAATGCTAAAGTACTTAAAAGCCCATGGTTGGACTTAATTATCTCTTCGCCAGTGTTGAGAAGAATGAAAGCCCCAGTCCCATAAGTGCTTTTGGCCTCGCCTTTCCGGCAAGCTTGCCCCACCATTGCGGCATGTTGATCACCAAGACATCCAGCAATTGGAACTCCGGGAATTGGCCACCCCTTCGCTATATTTCCGATGATCTCAGAGTTACTAACAATTTTAGGAAGAATTTCTGCTGGAATTCTTAATGTGTTCAATGTAGGTTTATCCCAATCAAGTGTTTTCAGATTCATAAGCATAGTTCTCGATGCATTCGACACGTCAGTGACATGTAAACCATTATCAATCCCTCCAGTTAAATTCCAAATCAACCATGTGTCTATGGTTCCAAACAGAGCATCCCCTTTTTTCACAGCTTCTTTGACAGTATCCACATTTTCCAACAACCACAATAGTTTCAATGCACTGAAATAAGTACTTATGGGCAGCCCACATGTCTCCACAAAATGGGTTCTTCCACCTGGTAAATCGTTCTCTAGTTTCCTGAACACAAACGAAAAAGTGCTACGAAATTCCAAATTCCAATACCAACAGCCAGAGAAAATTCACAAAAATTTCAAGAGAAAAATGAAATAAATTTTAAAATCAACAAAAACGTAGTTCAGAATTAGACCATCCGAGAAATGGGTATTAATTTAAATCTTAAACTAATAAGACCCCAGTTCAGATCTAGATTTCACAAGAAGAAAGATTGATCATGATCCCAGAATTAGACAGACCCAGTTCACAAGCTGACCATCCAAGGAAAGGGTATTGATTAGAATAATGAATAGAACTGCCAGATCTCCAAAATCAAAAACAAAAGTAACAAAAATATGTGATCAAATGAACAGGAATGGACCTGCATATAGGACTGGTGCGAACATCCATCCAAACGACGGCGTTATTGAGAGGACACCCAGTCGATTTGCTCCAAACTACCGTAGTTTCCCTCTGATTGGTGAGACCAATAGCCTTCAATCCACTGTCAACGTTGTAACCATCAGCAGTGGCCTTGTCAATAGCTTTTGCAATACACATTCTCACACTCTCCAGAATCTCCATCGGATCATGTTCAACCCATCTACGAAAGCACAGCACAGAACCATAGAAATCAAACACCACGAAACATATCAATTGCACAGAGAGAGAGAGAAATGTGATTACCCGGCTTCCGGGTAGAACTGAGTGAACTCGACCTGGTGAGATCCAATGGCACGAGCGAGGGAGTCGTAGATGAGGAATCTGGTGCTGGTGGTTCCTTGATCGATCGAGCCAATGAATACCTCCTCTTTCGCCATTATCGTCTGTTTTTCTTTCTTCCTCGATTGTCTATCAGGTTGACTTCAAACACAGAAAGAAGATCAAAACAGAGTATATAATACAATACCAGAGAGAGAGAGAGAGAGAGATAGAGAGAGAGAGAGAGGGAGGGGATAGCTATTCCGGTGAAGAGGATAATAAGCAAATTTTTGGGTTTATCCAATTAGTGTAGACATTTGAAAATAAATATAATTGTTAATGTCATTTTGAACCCTAAAAGATGTTTTGATTTTCAATTTATACTATCAAACATTAAAAATTTTAATTTGTACTCTCAATATTATAAATTAATAGCAATGTGTACTTTGCTCAAATTGTCATTCAGTTTTTTGTCATAAATTGAAATATGTGAGTTATAAATATTTAGGTCATAAGCTTATGTATAAATTCAATGATTATTGCACATTATAGACTTAGTCACTATTTAATTAGTAAAATCTTATTTTCGATACATAAAACGATGTCAAATTAATCACAAATGACTATCTGTAGAGATAAACACACTTCATCCATATGCCCGAAACACTTACAACTCACCTGTTTTAATTTATGACATAAAACTGAATGGCATTCTAAATAATATCTACATTGCTATCAATTCATAATATTAAAAATATAAATTAAAATTTTTATTTTTTAAATGTACAAAGTAAGATTAACCCTAAACATAAATATATCAAAATGACATAACAACTTGACATTATCCTGTCAAACATGAACAATAATTAACATACTATTTATAATCAATTGGTTTTGTCTGTGGGCCCGTCTGGCACAAGAACCAATTAGAGATTTTGACTTTGGAGTTTCGAGGCGGACAGCCCAACCTTTGTGGTTGAGAGTGGGACCGTTTTCGTAATTTATGACGTAAATTACTTTGTTTTCGGAGATCTTGATCAATAAACAAATATCTTACCACCTTTTACGGCCATTTATTGCCACGTGGAATTTGTTTCATTCGCTTAACTTCTTTGTTTGAGTTTGATGTGGCTGCACGGTCTTCCCGTGCATCGGCAACGGTCCACAAAGATCTACCTATCACACACCGACTTACACTCTTGCGGGACCCTTGGGAATGGGTCTTAGACAGAACCAAAGGTTTCTTGTGTGTGGTCAAGCGACACTTTCATATATTATTTTGAATGTGAAGTATAGAACAGTAAAGTCGTGAATCACCTTTCCTAAAAATTACTTATTTATTAAACATTGATAATTAGCCAAATAAGAATCCTGTTATCATAAAAAAATTGAAAATTTGGATCTCTAATTTATATAATGGGCCTAGTATATCAAAAATTGTTTTTGACAAAGTCAATAACTCCAACAAAAAATGATTAGTTTACATCCTTGTCAAAGACAATGTCTTTTGAACAGAAGGATATTAGATATATAAGAACTCCGACGCAATGCATCTTCTCACTCGTACTAAACCTGTTTTTGTAATTAGAACTTCTTTCCAATTATAACTGCACTATTAAAACTTTGTTGTGTAAAAATAATTCAAACAATAAAGAAAGGAAAAAGGATAATTTAAAAGACTTGGCCTAATTTCAACAATTTAAAATGATCAAGAGTCGGGCAAGTCAAACAATTTTAAATGGTTTGTACCACAAATTACATTAAGTGATACAACCATCATAGATACTTGAGGACCATCATTGACGACCAACAATCCAACCAACGTGCCATCCTCAATGGAAAGCTAAGGTAGATACATGAAAAATTGTAGGTAATTGATGGTTCTTGTAAATTAAAAATTAGGCACTACTGACTTGCGATTCCTTCGCAGAAAGGCCGAGCACTATACTAACAAGGACTTGGCAGATAACAAAAAGTTTCCAATTTTCAGCAAACCTAATAGTAGATGCATGTGATAGAGTTGCATACACAAAATGGAAGATAAATTTTAAATCTTGTTATCCACTTTGAAATTCAAAATTTTTTCACATTAATTGGAGAAATCCCAAGGACAAAAAAAGAACCCATTGACGCTCTGGGTGCCAAATGCAACTATCCATCACATGGTAGAAATTAGAAGTTTCATCTCCATTATAAAGCCCCTTGTGTATTGAAAATTTAGGGTGCCTTGAGTAAAAAAATAAAATTATGTGCACAAGTTTAAGTCTAATTGTACTGTCATTCAAACTTGGATATTAGTAAAGCTTTTGTGAAAATGGAAGGGATTGAAATAAAGCTTGCGGGGGTAAGTAATTCAATCCAAGTTCTAATCTTCCCCAACTTACTACTACTGCCACTACTAACCATCAAATCTAAATGGAAAGGCTCTCTTCATTAACTACTTAACATCCTTTACAAACACCACATCCCGAAGAAGATGAGAAATCCTAATGAAAACAACCATGACTTTTGCATTAGTACATGGCACTAAAGAGAACTATATGGAAATTATAATTGTTGTACGTCTATCATTTTCTAGCAGGAGAAAACGAAAAAGAATGGCAGTAAAAACGAGAAATGAGAAAATTCACCAAGATTGATATCCTACCAGATCACTTTGTGCTAGATAGTGGCCATTGCTTTATATGAAGAATTTTCGCTTTTGTCAGTTCTCTTATTTCAGCGTTGTTCTTCACATAATCTATTCTTAGATATCATCAAAAGCTTATCATGAAAAAAAATAGGTTCTTTGGTGTCAAGAGCTCTAATTTTGTTCATAATAGTTACAATATGCTGTCAAAGCGTCTTTCTCGGAATCTATCAGCCTTGTTATTATGTAGCAAATATGCTTACATATTAAATCCAACTTGTATAACGTTGTCTACTTCGTTTATTTATTAAATCATCAAACAAAACAAACACAAAAACCAAAAAGAAAAATGTAGTGCCTGTTGAAGGATACTACTCGTTCGACAATGACAAGACTCCCAGTGTGTGTGGCTAAAAGAGAAAGAGAGCAATGACAAGTGTATGTAATGAAAAACTTTTATAGAGCTGCAATTACTCAAATTCTTATTGTAACTGATGTAGCCATTGCTGCTTCAACATTTAATTCCTGAAATATGTAGAGCCACAACGAGAAGCTGGATATTATTGACAGAGAGAAGCAATGCACCATCAAACTTTACCCGTTTAGGAGAACTTCAATTAAAAAAATTTCTATTGAATGGAGGGATGAGATATATATATATATATATATATATGAAGGGGTGCTGGTTGGCATTAGTGTTAAATGATCTATTTAATTTAGATGTATTATAAAGGTATAATTGAATTCTTAATGTATAGATATAGATACAAATTGTGGCACTAAATCTATAAGATAAGTATGACATAGTTATAATGTTAGAGGGTAAAAATGGGAAAAAAATTATTTTTCATGTACATTGACATTTTAAAGTAATATAGATATTTTTAAATTAGTACTTTTGGCCTTTTAAATAAAAAAGTCTTATATTGACATTTTAATATATTAACAACCGACGACATACATTACACATAAAAAAATATATTTATAATTAAATTAAATAATAAATTAAGTGTCAAATAATTAAATCATATTTTAATTATTATTAATTTATTTCATAAGTATTTGAGTATCTAATATTTCTTTTATCTTTCCAATCTTTTTAAATATTTTACATATTTAATTATATTATAGAATTATAAATATTTTTATTAAACAGATTGACTAGATCACTTATAATATTATTATTTTATTACATACCCAAAAAAAAATATAATATATATTAGACCGTGAACTTCAACCTGATAACCATGTGTATATAATAATTTAATATATATGAGATTTTACTTCTTCATATAGATATAGATAATTATATTTAACTGTACTATTAATAAATGAGTTTAAAAAAATTTAGAAGTCTTTATAAAAAAATCCAAAACAAATTAAAAGTCAAATAGGTGTACAAAAACATAAATTAGATGAGAGTATATAGGTGGGTATAATTGACTTTATTATAATAATTAGGGATAAAATTAAAAAAATTTACAATACTAACATTTATAAATAATATAGATATAAATAGATTATTATAGGATATAAGTTTACCCCCAACAAGAAGTATGTATGTAAGTGGCTATCTTAATAATGTAATGGAGTTGGGAGTTTTTTTTTTTTCTGGTCAAAGTATAATTTTCATTAAAATAAAAGGAACAAAGCTTTACATTATAACTTTACCCAATACCTATTCTAGCTTCTTTGAGGAGGATCTGCGCCAGCTGCCTTGGGGGAGAGTGTAGCCAGTTGAAAGGCAGTGTGCCTTGCCTAGATAGCTTGGCCAGAGTATGTGCTGCTGAGTTGCAGGATCTCCTTGTGTGTTTGAAGATGACTTTAGTAATGCCTTTCACATAGTGCCATATATCCTATTGAATGGCTTCAATGTCTCTTATGGTTGCTGTTGATCCTTGATTAAGGGAATGAACCAGGACCTTCGAGTCGGATTCAATGGTAACTTCTCTGTAACCTTCATTAAGTGCGATTGAAACAGCTCTTCGCACAGCACAGGCCTTGGCTGCCAGAGCTGAGGAGACTGTTAATCTTGCCACAGCTCCAGTGAGAAATATACCTTCATGATTACGTGCCACTGCTGCATAGGCTGCACTATTGCTCTTCTCGCAAAATGCTCCATCGCAGTTGATCTTTATCCAGCCCATTGAAGGCTTTGACCATTCAGATTCAACTTGATTTGGGTTGCCTCGGGCGAGGACTTCATTTTCAACATTGTCCATCTCTGAGAGGGCCTCCATTGCCTGAGATATAACTCTGCTATCACTTGGCTGTTTGTGCTGATAAATCCACTCATTGCGTGATTTCCATATGAACCAGCATAAGAGAGCATATAAGGGCTGCATTGAGTATTCAACTTCACCAGCCTCGGCCCTTTCTTCCAATCTCTCTACTAGCCAATTCCCCACCCTTGAAAGTCCACATCTATTAATGACAAGCCCAAGGGGAGATTTTTTCCATACCGTTGCATCCCAGGGACATAACAAGAGGAGATGTTCCATTGTTTCATCCTCCTCTCCGCATATTGGACATGATGGATTCTTTATCAACTTCCTTGTCCATAGAGCCCATCTAGTAGGCAGTGCATTATTGGACACTTTCCATAGGAAAGAATGGATTTTTGGGGGAACTTTGAGCTTC